GGCGTGGGCGTGGGCGTGGGCGTGGGCGTGGGCGTGGGCGTGGGGCGTGGGGCTCACCTGCGGTTCCTTGAGCGTGTCGTAGGCGTCGACGCACACCTGGAAGTCGGTCGAGTTGCACACGGCCTCGGCGGGCAGTTCGTTCAATATGGGTGTAGGCAGGTCTCGGTACCAGATCTGTGCCAATTGTTATTATTGATCGTTCACGCACACCCACGGTCAGCAGATGCCTCTCCGTTGTAGAGGAGAGGAGAGGAGAGGGTACGTGCCTTGAGGAGGTTGGCGATGGCGTTGATGTCGGGGTTGGTCGAGACATCGAGGCGCTTGGCCTTGTTCATCTGCTGCTTGAGGTACTTGATGTCCGACGCCTCACCCGCCAACCTGAAGATGCCCTCTTGCTGCCAGGCGTCCTGATGGAGGAGGTAGTTCTTCATCTCCACCAAGATGGACGGCACGTCGAACCCTGCGAGACGACGATCGTCGCACATCGTGTTGATCAGCAAGCCGGACAGACGACTTGTTCGCACAGGAAAAGAGACGACAACGACAGTCGACGTACCGGCGTCGTAGACGGTCTCCAGGGTCGAGGGGTCGACGCCGAACATGCCGTGCAGGGTGTGCGTTCGCACCACGAGGAACAGCGTCTCCGTTCGGTTGTTTTTGTCTGCAAGGGAGCAATGCGTTGGTCATGTTTTGTCGCTATGCTCAACATGATCTATACTGGCTTAGTATGATACCTGTGATCTTAAGGTTCACACGGAAGTTGACCGGTTCGCTGTTGCTCAGGGTGAGCTTGGCGATGATCTTTTTCGTTCCCTTGTTCTTCTGCGCGTTGTGTGGTGTCGATTGTTTGGGCGTCGTCATAACACGTGAGATACGGCCACGCCCGGGGGAGCAATCGCTCGCCGGTGCTGGGGAGGAACGTACGGCCCCGGCCCCGATCGTGCCAGAGGAGGGCTCGAATAGGAGTTTGCAGTGGCCCATCGACGCCGGCTCGAAGTGGAACTTGACCCTGGTGCGGTGTGGACCAGGAAACAAAACCACGCCGGAGGTATAAGCAACAACTCCAGGTTGAAGGTGTAGAGAGAGTGGAGAGCGGGGGACGCACTTGGTCGGGGTGGTGTTGGTGATGATGAAGGTATCCTTGACCATCTCGTTGACCGGGCACGCGCCCTCGCCGAGGTCAAAGTCCAACACCTCCTTGGACAACTGCACGTGGGACGCCGAAATAAGAATAAAAAATATTAGACAACCATCTTTACAGATAGGAAAGGGGGGCAGCCGTACATGGTAGGGTCCCTTGGATTTGGCTGTGGTGCAATCAAATCAAAAGATTGTGCAAGTGCAGATGGATAAAGGAAGGGGGGGATGAGCAATCTTGTGCACAGCTCATAGGTGATGGGGAGGAGTATCTCGTACAGGGGCCAGACCCGATGGAAGCCGAGCGAGCCTCCTTCCGCACGATGTGCGAACCACCACTGCCCCCGTCGGGGTTGGTGGTGCCGCTCCTCTTCCTCGCACCCAAGAAGCTCAACATCTCTCTCCTGCCTCGTTTGTCAACTCAATCTTTGCCCGCCGATGTTTTTCTCTTTCGGCCCCTCCCCCTCGCTTCGTTCTTCCTCCGTCCTTCGCTTTCGCTCTTTCACTTCGCGGACGTGTTCGAGGAGACTGTGGCCACAGCACTGAACTCGTATCCGAGTATCGTGAAAAGAAAATCTTTTTTTCAAAGTTATTAGATCGCCTTTTTTATTTAGATAAGCAAGGCACGCGTCGAGGTGCTGGTGGGCTTCTTCGGAAGAGGGTGTCTCACGGCGCTGGTTCTTCGGTGATGGCCTCCTCGGGCGAGGCGAGCGGGCTGCCGATGAGCAGGGCGGCGCTGAAGTAGATGCAGCCGATGGTCTGGGGAGGCTGTGTTGCCCGTGTAGTTGGCGCCAGCCAGGCTCTGTGTTCCTCGACGAGCCGGCCATGAGCCCGCCACCACGCCGACACAGGTGTGCGTCTTGATGCGCGGAGGCCGGGGGTTGGCCTTGGGGTCCATGGCGTAGCGCAGGTCAGCGGGGGTGAAGGCCACGACGTCGGCCTCGCTTTCGGGGTCGCACTCCCATTTATCCGTCACGAGGTGGCGGTAGACGAGCACCGGCAGGAGCTGCACGCAGCGCACCGACCCGATGGCGTCGGCCACCAGCCGGTCGACGCCCTTGAGTCCGGCGAGGGTCGGCTCGTTGCCGACGTAGCGGTGGGACAGCACGATCCCGAACGGCTTCCTCTTGCCCGATGCCTCGACCTTGGCGTAGTGGGCCTCCACAGCCATCCGGCCGTGAGCAGGCGCGCGGTCATCACGGCTGCGCTCTCCTCTGGCACGGACGACCGCTCTACGGTCCGCATGGCCTTGGCGTACTCCGTGCCCCACAAGCAGTGCTCCCTAACACTAGGAAACTATTGTGGAAACGGAGAATGACAAACATGAAGGATTTTCTGGCCCTTCTTTGAATTCTTTCTGAAATTGTTCTTCATAAATCCCACAATGGGTAGTGCCCGGTGCGGGCTGCGCAACAAGAAGGCCAGGGTGCAGGTCTGCAGCTTGGGTGTGGTGGCCCGGCTTGCAAAGATGAAATTCATGCTACTTCGATTCAACCATCTGATTGTGAGTAGCACGGAGTTCGAAGACTCCTTCATCATGAAGCAAATTACCTCGTGGTAGCTCCTCCGGGAGCTCACAGTGTTCGTGCGGGCGGGGTCGGCATAGACCTCGCCTGTCGAGCAAACTCAAACGCAGAGAGTAAACTCTGCTTCATCAACAAATCGCCTGGCCGAGAGGCTGGGATCCCCCTGGACCCCAATACCCCCACCACCGCGTGATTCGCCACCAAGCAGCCACACCCACCTTTTTTGGTACCTGTGGGCAGCTGATGATTCTGTCGTTGCTCTCGGCCGGCATCGATCGCGGCACCTGACGTTCGCTCTCGGCCAACCAGAATTCGGCTCTTTGTGTGCTTTGTGATTTTTCAATCTTTTTGGCAACGTAGCGAGATGGACGAAAATCAGCAGACAAGTAGTGCAGCATCGATGCAGATCGAGCAGGTGTCAAGTGCAGATCGAGCAGGTGCTTCCTTGCTTGAAAATTTGCCTGCTACCATGCTCAATTCACATGCGCATGTGAGATTCTTTACATCTGGCATGCTGTAATCATTCTGACATCAATGCACGTAGCTCTTTTGATCGACGGAAGGGAAGCGCTCAACAGCAAGCCAGCTGTCACGGACTCGGCTCGCGACTCGTCTGATGCCCCAGACATTCTCGCCAAGATTCGCCCAGTTGTGACCGGTCGCAACGAGGGCCACAACGATGCGGCGACGGTGGCGGCTGGTGGCGATGCCGGCTCGTCGCAAGAACCGGGGCAAGTGGGCCTCGGCCACGAAGACCACTTGTGGTCCGAGCTGATCAACTCCCCCGCCTTCTCCGAGTGGAACCAAAAGCAGGAGGAGCTCGCCCAGCGAGCCGTCACCAAGGCCAGTGACGACGGTCGTCGGCAATCGATGCTGCTCGAGGACGACAGCGAGTCGAAGACGATGGAAGACGAGACGACGGAGGCCGGAGCGTGGGCGAAGAACGAGAAAGAGGATGAAGAGGCGCAGGAGGCGGAGGCGGAGGAGGTCGTGAGCTCCGTTCGCGAACGAAAGCAGAAGCGGAAGCGAAAGAGCGAAAAGAAGGGCCGGAAGACGAGCTCGCACAGAGCCAAGAAGGCCAAGCAGGTCAACGACAGCGACGAGGACGCGGAGAAGGAGGAGGAGGAGGAGGGAGGGAGAGAAACAACAGAGCACAGCTCCTCT